GTTTCCATACATCACTGGGCCTGAAAAGAGATCCCTTTAAAATGACTTAAAAATGAAATAACAACCTCCTCCTAAGGAATAAAGTACTAGCTCATTAAAGTAAGACCCTGTGCTAATATAGAGCCCACATGCCACCTAACAGCACCAGGCACCGCAGCAGTTCAGGCGCCACTCTGGCCCTGCAGTCACCAGGAGTTCTGAGGGGAAGTCTGACTCTGACTCTACCCTCACTCACTATGAGGCCTCTGGTAGGCCTAGACTCTCTTGGTCAAGGTCAGGAGAACCAGAGCTCAAGCTGCCTGCTAGGCCTCTATAATCAAGGTTAGCAAATGTCCCCACCAGGTCGACATGGGCAGAAGTTCCAACCCTGCTCCCTTGGGGGCTGCAGATGGGAGAGGCTAAAGCACCTCCAAGTAGAGGATGGAGTGGGAAGGAAGTGTAAAGGGAGGGACACCAGATTTGCAGCAAAATATGTGGCATTTCCATTGACTGAGTTTGGGGACAGGGATATAGCTCAGTGGCGCAGCACCTGCCTAGCAAGATGGAGGTTATGAGTTCAATTCCCAGTACACTCCCCAAAAAAGATGCATCCATTAACTGAGTTTAAGAATTTTTATTTATAAAATGGGCATAACTATGCCTTTTCCACTTTTATACAGTAGCACCCAGTTTTCATTCAGCCTTAAGTTTCAGAAATTACACACTGACAACTGTCCCCAAAACAACTTGTGAAAGCCCCTTCCAGACTTTCACATAGCAGGTCATACAGGCCCCTCTCACCAGTCACAAGCTCATCTGGCAAGCACCAGTGGCACCACACTTGTTGCGATATGGACAATGGAACACAGTATTGCGTCTTGGAGTACACTTCCTTTCATCAACACAAAAGACAGAAAAGCACCCATATGGTAGTTCAAACTTCATCAGACATTCACTGGGTTCAAAACTGGCCAAATACATGCTCAAGAGTGCGGCATGGGTGTCACCCTCGTGCCAGGGAGCCTAAGGCAGTAAGACCACTGCGAGTTTGAGGCCAGCCTGGGCTCCAAAGTAAGTTCAAGGCCAGCCTGAACTACCCAGGAAGACCTTGTCTCTAAAACAGAAAACAAAACAAAAAATAAACACAAGCAAACAAAAAGTAAAAAACGCTGAATATGTATAAGTAAAGGATTTTATACTATGCCTGTTTTTCAGCTTCAGGGAACTAAGCCCCTTCTTACAATGAGTAAGTCAGGTGTCTTATTTCCCACATTCAATTTGTAAGAACATATAATTCACAAAACCCCACCATTATAGTGTCTTGTTCTATAAAAGTCTCGAGGCTGCCTACAGTAAAGAACAAACAGACCTGGGCAAGAGCAAATATAAGTCAGAAGATCAAAAACTTAAATTGGTACATTATGTTGTATACAAGTGATACTTAAAACATACCTCAAGACTTAAAGAGCAAAGACAAAATAAATAACAAAAACAGGGAAGTAAGGTTAAAAAAAAAATACAGACAGCAGATGCTAAGATTCCTGCCAGTGACAGTAGCTGACTCTTGCTGCAGGTATGTGCCCTAAAAACAATTTCTCTTTAGATGCCTTCAAGGAGATTGTGTCCTTGGTAATGACTACACTATGTACAGTAATAATTTTCCTGTGGGTGTGGTAGTGCGTGATTGTAATTCCAGCCACCTGGGAGGCTGAAGCAGAAGGATGGCAAAGTTTGAGCCCAGCCTGCACAACTTAGCAACTTAGTAAGCTTTTGTTTAAAAATACAGAAGGGCTGGGGCTCAATCCACGGTACCATTTAAGACAATAAACAAATCCCCTGCCCACAAAAAAGCTTCACCAAGACCATTTCTGTACATCCCAAATGTCAGCCTGGCTGAACGTTCCTGTAGCAGGAGAAAGGGAGGTGAACATCAGAAGCCAAGGAACCACTTGGAGGCTCAGATGTCACCAGGATAAAGAACTCACCACAGGGCCAGCCAGATAGCTCAGGGACTAAAACACCTGCTTAGGCAGACAAGGACCAGTGTTCAATCCCGGCCATGGCATGCCATGCCATGCTGGCCTAGTGACCAAGATTGGGTGTGGTGGCGTGAGCCTATAATCCCAGCACTTGGGAGGCTGAAAACAGGAGGATCACTACAATTCTGATCTGTATAGTGAGACCCTGTACTAAAAATACATTAAAAAAAAAAACCACCACAAATCCTGGTGCAGTTTCAAGCTCAAGCTCAGCCACTCTCCCGAGCTGTGAGGGCTGCAGAAAGCTTAGGCATGGGGTACAGAACTGACTCCCCACTGTGACTAATCATGCTAAGCTCCCAGTGGCTCTGAACTCAATCCTTATCCCAGCCTAGCTAATAAACAAAACTGCAAAATTGCTGCCAGTGCATTCCTGGATGTGTTGCTGAGTTCCACGGAGCAGAGGTCACTCTCTGGGCCACAGCTCCCAGGGTCTCCGTCATTTTTCTTGTTGTTGAGACAAGGTCTCACTATGTATTTCAAGCCGGTCTCGAACTTATAGCCATCTTCCTACCTTAGGCCCGGTGCTGGAATTACAGGTGAGCGCCACCACACCCTGCTTGTCCCTCGCCACTTAGCCTCAACACCCCTCAAGTATAACCGGGCACATGGCTACCCAGACCAGGGTATACCTTTCACCCCAGCGTGGCCACAAGAATTTAAGCACTGCAGGTCCTATAGCCTTTAAAAAAAGTAATGCTAGCCGGGCACACATGAAGTCTCAGGACTCTGGGAGGCTGAGGAAGGAGGACCATAACCTCAAGCCCAGCCTTGGCAACTTAACAGTTTAGCAAGACCCTGTCTCAAAATAAAGTATTTTAAAAGGCCTGGGGATGTAGCTCAGTTGGAAAGCTATGGCTTCAATCTCTAGCACTAGAGAAA